GAAGCAGAATCTGCTCTGTGCAACAGCTCAGGCCATAAATACCTTCTCCAATTGCCTATTACATCAGCAGCAGTGCACCTGCTCTCTCATACTGAGGGACATGGACTCAAGGGAATCTCTGGTTTCAGAGTACAAGGAGCTTAACTGGTCACTGCTCCCCCACTGCCCACCCTATCCTGTGTCCCACCACCACCACCACCACCACCACTCAGTTCAATAAAACTGGATCTATGCCAGCTTCAGATACCTGTTTAACTCATGATATCTGGCAGGAGCATTTCTTCAGGTGTCATTATATTGTGCCAAAGCCCTGGCCAGGGAACAGTCTGGACAGCCCAGCTTGCAGCAGCACAGTTCAGGATGTGGAGGTGTCAGTAGTGGTATCTGGATCCTGCCTAGCCCTGCTTAACTACCTGCAGTGCTTTACCACTCACAGGAATAAAAGGCTTGAGCCGTCCGCTCAGCTTCTGGGAAAATCAAGCTCCTTTGTGTAGGGTACATGAGGGACTGATTTGGGCCCTAAGCTCACAGTGGGGCAACAGGCATGATAGCGACTTCACGTAACTTTGCACAACCTGATCAAGCACCAGCCGGCATTAGCTACTGCCCCGTCCCCATGGAGTGCTTCAGGGACCAATGTCAGGGACTCCTTCAACCTGCTTACAATGAGCCTTCTTGCTGGCCCTTGCCTTTGGGAGCACCGCAGGCAGCTGAGCCTGAAATCTGTCCTGCTTTCTCCTCCTTCAGCCTCCCTCAGCTGGCCTCTGTGCCCTCCTGCTGTACTTGGCTGCCTGTTTGCCTCCTGCACCCCTGCTTGAGGAGGAGATCTTAGAGGCTGGGAGAAGGTGCGGGACTTTTCTGACGCGTCCCTGACTGCAGGCAGTGCCTTCACTCCCTGCTGGAATGCAGTGAGAAGCTTCCCTCGTCACCCTGGCGAGGCATCCTGGGGCCTGTGTTTGTGGCTATTTTGGTCCATCTTTTTATCACACACTCCTCCCTGTGGAATTCGCCCAATTAAAACCTTGCAATCTGCAGCCTTCACTCTCAGAGGCAGTGAGTGCTTAGAAGGTCCCTTTCCCAGACACGCCATGGCTGCACGGACTGTCCCCCATGCCTACCCCATGAGTTCGGAGTACGAGTTTGCCAACCCTAGCAAGATCTATGACCAGAACTTTGGAGAAGGTAAGAAAGGAGATGGGATTGCCCCGGCACATTTTTCTCTTCTGGGGCAGGAGGGCTTTTGGAGTCCCCCTGGGGAGACTGAGTTCCAGAGCAGGCAAGGGAAGCTGGAGCCAAGGAATTCTGAGTATAAGAACCCAGGTCAAATCGGGGCGGGGGGGCGGGGTGGGGAATACCCAGGGAATAGCCAGGGTCTCTCTCTTCAGGTCCACTTCCTCCATCCATGCCTACCTCTGTCTCTCCTGTCCATCCCTCATGCCCCTGATGGTCTGGCATTCATGCATATGCTGTGCAAACATGGAGCAAAATGCTCTGGGTGGGGGGAGTTTTTGCAGCCGGGGGCTGTGGAGAAAAGCTGAGCTGGGGTGTTCAGCACAAAGCCGGGCAGTAGCTGGCGGAGGGGAAGGAATGTGGGCAGCAGCAGAACCATTCAGCACCAGCACAACAGCGTGAAAAGGCAAAAAGCTCCAAGGAAAGCCCCCTGGACAATGGCACACAAAAGGCCTTTAGTTCTTCAGGGCAGTTTCTTCTCTATCAGCATTTTCCATGCCCATCCCTGGCTGTGGGCTTTGCACTGCAGAGCGCCCAGTGCACCTACTAGTCCCTCCCTGTGCACCCATCAGACATGCGAAAGCTGGATGCCAGCCCTTGGCTTGCTGGCAGCTGCTGGCTATGTGGTAGGAGACAGTGGCTGGCAGGCAGCTGGCTCTGTGTGTGTTTTAGAGACTCAAAGGTAGGAACCGCAAAAGACTCCATCCATATTGTGCTGACGTGGTGGCAAAACCGAGGCATTCGCCAGGTCCCAGCCTCCTACTGTCACCCTCCCCTATCTGCTGGCAACCACCCTTTTCCAACTCCTTCCCCTGTAAACCTCACACTCCTCACTGAGTCTCATTTTCAGGTGTGTCCCCGTGTGAGATTTTAGCCCCTGCCCTGTACCATGGCTACTACATCAGGCCTCGGATCAATAAGCAGCTGGATCGTGGCACCTCTGAGATCACCCTCAATGAGCACAAATTCGAGGTGTTCCTGGATGTCTGTCACTTCCTGCCGGATGAGCTCACTGTCCGCACTGTAGACAACCTGCTGGAGGTGATGGGGCAGCACCCACAGAAAGCTGACCGCCATGGCTTCATCTCCCGAGAGTTCACCAGGACCTACATCCTCCCTCTGGATGTCGACCCCTTGCTGGTGAGAGCCACGTTGTCCCACGATGGCATCTTAAGCATTGTGGCTCCCCGGACAGGGAAGGAGGTGAAGGCCAGAGTCAACGAGGTGAAGATAACTCAACAGGAGCAGCCAGCAGGGAAAGAAGAACAGTCTGAGGAAGGAAAAGGGAAGGAAGAGTCCTAGAGGTCCCAGATCTGGGCTTGCATGGGAAAGGCGGGGGGGACAGGGATGGGGAATCCAATGGTGGCAGACCCCTATTTCTCACCATCAGTGTGAAGGGCTGTTAGGCAGCCGTATATATGCCAGACTTCTGCTTTTTAAGGCTGATGGTTGGAAAAAGGGACTTGAAACTGAAAAAAGACGGGGACTAAAGTGTTAGTGTCAGAGACCGTAGTGCAAGTTTTCTCCTAGGTAAGTGCTCTTTGAGCACCGTGCAGGGTGCTCTTCTCTCACCCCAAACGGCAAGGGTCACTCTTACCCTAAACCATGAGGCTGTGTCACAGTGGACTGTTAAACAGATGCTGTGCTCTAGCCCAGAATGGTACTGGGAAGAGGGAAGAGGTGATCCCAGTGCCTCGCTTCTGAGCTAGTGGCTGACCTTTGTGGAGATGGAAGGTGCTTGTTGGTCTGTAAAAGTGCCTGCAGCTCTCAGGAGGAAAGAGGAATAAATCTGCCTCTGATCTTCTCTTGTTTGCCTTGGATTCATGTTGCTTCTGGCCAAGCTACTCTGCAGCAGGAAGGATGGACAGTGCCTTAGCTGCTCCAGATGCAGGGAGCGGAGCAGCAGAGAGTTCACACTGAGATCATCTGTGGAAATAGCATCAGTGGGGACTTGGAGGGACTCTGCCCATGGGGCAGCCAGGGGCACCTCTGTGATTTGCCCTCCTGGCTCAGGTGCAGCTGGAATTGCTTGCTGTTGTAGGGAGCCCTCAGTGGGCAGTAGCCGCAAGGGAAAAAAGTAGAGTGATGAGCTCTTGGAGGCTCACTGTGCATTTCCAGACCTACAGCTGGAGTTAGCCCAAGTAAACAAATGCCAAGCCATGGTCTCTGCTTGCTTCAGCCCTCTAGTTTATGGGACATAAGGCTTGTTCACACACAGACCTTTTCAGCCCTTGTGAGGGGAGTGAACCCCAAAATGCTGAAGGGAAAGGCTCTGCTCAGATCCCAAGTGCTTTGCTAGCATCTTAGCACTCTCTGTAGAGAGAGGTGATGAATTTGGCCCCTTTAGCAGACACAGTGATGCTACTGGCTACATGAGAAATGTCTCCAATAGCCTTATGATGTTGGGCCAGGGATCGCGTGTGCTGCTGTCAGTGGCAGCTGCTGCCTTGGCTGGCCCCGAGGGCTCAGCAGGTGCCAGTTGCAATCCTTGTCTTGTCAGAGCCAATTAAAGCAGCCAAAATGCTGTGTCACTGGCCAAATATGGGGGTCCCTGGCATGCCTCAGTGCAGCCTTCCCACAGAGGAAAGAGGAGGTTCCAAGGTCCCTGTGGACAGAGCTTCTCCCTCTCCCTGCTGGGATGTGACCCGCAGGCTTCTGCACTCTGCCTCCATGAATACATAGAGCCAGAAGAGCCCTGCTCAGGAGTCTATCCCATGCAGCATACCTCCTCAGTTGCTGAAACACTGGTATAAGGCTGCTCTTTCACCCTCTCCAGGCAAAGTGGGATCCAGACCAGAGTGAACCACTGTGCAGCTATTTTCTACTGCTCAGGGCCCCTGCCAACAATGAGGATCAGAGTCAAATTAAGAGCAGCCCTGCCTGCCAGCCTCATGAGAGCAAGCAGGAGGGTGGCTAAGCCTCCATCCCTCCCTGGGGCAGATCAGATACCCACACTCACGGTCTGTACTGCTGAGGGATGTCCTTATTTGTGAAGCAGGACCAGATAAGCCGCTGCCAGTATTTCAGATATTGTCAAAATAAAAATCACCTTTACAACAGGCTTTGTCTAAGTCATTAATAATAATAATTCCAGAGATAATCCTGGGCTAGTGACTTCCAAACACCTGAAGCAGCTTCTTGTAAGGGCAGGAACATCTCAGTCCTTAACTGCTCCGCTGTGTACAAGCCTCTCTCTGCTCCTCAGTGCACACCGCACCAGCCTCGTGCACTGCACCAGATACATACCACATCCCGCTCACAGCAGCACCCACACAAGTCCCAAGTCCCAGGAGGGCTGAATTCCTGAGTCCATATCCATGTGGTGAGGGCAGAGACCTGTGTCCGGGTTCAGGAATGGCTATAATTTCCTTAGTTCCCTGCCATAAAAGGATTCCTCAAACTTACAACCCCTTCAGAGCAGTGTCTCTGTCTCTGATCTGGCATCTTCTGTGCTGGTAAGAAAGATCAATGGTCCCCTCGCTCACTGAAGGCCTCCTGTTACTAGGATAAACGTCTTCACAGGATTTGGGATAGGGAGGATAGCCAACATATAACCTGAAAGCTGGGCAAAGGGTGACTGACAGAAGGATTGCACGTTCACACACATTGCAGACGTGGCACATGCTAGAGCATGAAATGCCATCTGGCCCTGCTCTGACTCGGCAACACAAGGGCTGTGGGTTGCTGAACTACTGGGGGCTGAAAACAGCATGTGGCCAGGGCTGGGGCTGCACAGGGAGTGGATTCTAAGACAAAAGTGCCCAAAACAGTTCAGAGCTCTCTCTTCTGCATTTTTTATAGACAATGCGAGCTTGTTGTGTGCCTGTACCACACCTACCACGACATAGTCCCAGTCCCTCGGTGTCTGAGGTACCCTGATACTCTTGCAATAGAAACACACAGCATTAGTAGTCATTACACAGTTCTGTTCCCCCTCTGGCTTTTATTAGCCCTGTCTTTGCTCTCTGACAAGTTCATTCTCTATTGCTGGGCACTTGCAGGCTCGTCCTACTGTGCCAGTTGTACAGCTGGTTACCCAGACAATGTCCCTGAGTGCGTGAAGACAGCTGACCCGAGCAGTGACGCAGTGAGTGGGGCTGGCACTGCCTGGTATCAGCCACTGGGCTGTTCCTCTGCACCCTGGCAGACTTTGCACAAAATAGCCTGATCGGTTTGCTGAGCAGGAGTGCTGGAAGCCATGCTTTCTTTCATCCCTGTAGACATAGACTGAGGAGGGAATGCAGAGTGGCAGCCAAATGCTCTCCAGCCCTGCCAATGTTTTTGATGCCTTTCTGTTTCTCTGGTGGAGCTCAAACCAGCAGCTCCAATATTTGTGAAAGGGGCTGATGGGAACAGGCTCCCAGGCTTTTTTTTTCTTCTCCACAAAGCGACAAAGCCCAAGTTATCCCAGAAATCAAAACAGACACTAGCTCACTAAATCAACAGTGTCTGTGGCAAACCCAGAGACACACAGTCTGCAACTTCCCAAGCAGGAACAGGCTCCTGAGACTACCTGGTCTTTGCAGGACCCTGAGAACATGGTCCTATTGGGACCGGGACTGAATCCCATCTGCCTGCATAAATCCAATCCTAAATTCTCCCTGAGGTGCTGTGGTGCAGGCTGAGCTGTGCAATTTCTCCAGCCACATGCTGAGCAGCAGTTTCAGAGCAAGACTCAGGCTTTGCAGGTCACGGTGGAGCTCATCCAGGATTCAGCTAAGAGAGCAGCTGTGCCCCATGGTCCTTCTAAAGCAGAACCCGTTCTCCTCCTGCCACTTCTGGACAGGTACAAGCTTTGCTCTGTCCTGGGGCAGATGATAAATGATGCTGTGAGCCTGGCTGAGAGCATGGGTAAAGCTGGAGTAGGGGACTAGGGCCTGTTCCTGAGATAGATACCCCACTAGAAGGGTGAATTAAAACTTACCCACTTGTCAGCACATCCCATGAGGTATTCCGGCCTGCACAAAACTGAGGCTGACTGCCAAATCAAAGCTGTGGAGCACAGTTTCTGCTCGAGGACTACATTAACATGGTGTCTTTCAGTATTGAGTATCAGCTCTGTTAGACCTCCTGGAGATCAGCTACCCGTTGTTCAGTCCAGGAATGACCAGCCACAGTCTGAAGGGCTCTCAACAGGGGTAGAGAGGTAAAACACACATTAACATTCCTGTTTGACATGCTGAGGGGTGAGCCTAAAAGCTGTATTGCAGGTCCTTAATGATGCGAAGTCCCTCATGGGACTCTGCCAATCTCAAAATCACAAATCTATACACCTTCATCTAGGTAGCTTTTAAAAAAATGGATTCCAGGTAATGTTCCTGAGGTTGCATACGCCTTTCTACCTGCAGCAGAAGCAGCAGCACTAGAGCTCAGCTGAGAGTAGACCTCCAAGCCTGCTCTCAGCTTTGCTGGGGCACCACCTCCCTCCCAAGAAGATGCACTCTCTTTCCCAGATGACACCAGCCCGTGCCACACATTTTTCTGACATCACGATTGAGATGCAATGACGAACAGCAGGAACAGCACTGAGAGCTCCCACCCTGATGTTTCTCCTTTTGTTCAGGAACATTTGAAGTCCCTCCTCCATCCCCTTTCACATCACTGCTGGCATCAGCAGGATGGCACTGGCGGGAGAGAGGGGTAGTGGAGGGACGTCCACTATACTAATCATAAAGCAGAATTTTAGCCCCAGGGCTGAGGCCTGGAGGCATGCTGCTACCTTGCCCTCTCCTCCCTGGGTAGCAAGAGGTGAGCGCAGGCCCCGGGGGCAGGGGGAGCCCAGGGCGAGCCCTCCGGTAGATGGCACGCACGGGCCCAGCGGAGCGTCGCTGCAGCGACGGAGAGAAACCCGACACTGCCAGACACTCCCTTGGAATAGCCAGGGGCCGAGCAGGAACCAGGAAATACAAGCTCTCCCTGTCCTGAAAACGCTGCTGCTTCATGGAGGAAGGAGCGACATGGGCAATCTCTGCAGCTGCGGGCGACCGTGGTGAGTACGGCATGTGCCAGGTAGGGGGATGGCGGACAAAGCTGCGGGCGGCCGGGACGGGAGCTTGGGTGGGCTTGGGAAGCGTTGCTTCCCTGTGCTGGGTTTGCCGGGGCTCCCGCCTGGCGCTCAGCCCTGCACCTTGCCGGCTCGCACAGGGACGGAGGGCGAG